GGGATACACCCAGATACAGCACCAGCCATGAGGAGAGGGACACTGAGAAGCTAGTAAATGAATCAACATTGATGTCATTCCAAATTACCTAAGCTTGGAACAAAGGGCACAGAATTTACACATCCAGCCTTGGGAACGGAGAGGCCAAAACAGTCCTCAAACAAGAATTCCTTTGACATTGCGATCAGAGGGTGTCGCTGGACACAATTTTAAGAGATTGAGTAAGGCGAACAAGCTTTTACTGAACATGACCAAAACAGAATCTTGGATTGCTACCTCAGAGAAATCCATTTGCTGGGACTATCCCATAATCCTGGGGGGCAGGTAGGAAATGATGGTTTGGAAGGCAGAGCAAAAGGATTGAGAATCTGGGATCAAAATATAACAAAGAAAATCAGAAGAGACAAAACTCTTTCGTTTCTGGAATCATTTAGGGAATGTAGTACAATCTGAATGATGGGATGGGGAATGGGCTTTGCTGAAAAGGGCACTGGTTATTGTCCATCTCTGGGTGCCCTATTTACAGCAACTGTGGGACTGTCTATGCCTATGTCAGGGGACAAGTCAGAGTAAATCACCTTGGTCGGGAGGCTGGGAAACGATGACAGGCTTTCTCCCCTGGAAGTCATTGAGGAGCCAGTTCTGTCATTAAACAATCCAATAGGGCATGGATTCCAGTTACTTAGAGACATTGGATTCAAATTCATAAATGGACTTACATTCAGGTTTCTTGGTCACTCCCCAAGAAACACAACTGCTCCCATAGCCACCAATAAATAACATGTCCATTAGCAAATGAAAATGGGGGATAAAAGATGCCATGGCAACCTGGATCACGTGATCAGGAAGCACTCTTCCATTGGATGAGAATCAATTTAGGATCCCAGTGGTTAGGAGAGAAGATAAATAAAAGAAATTATTTCAATCAAAACACGGTTTAAACTTCCTTCTTGGGAAGTAGCCCATCATTTAGTGAAGCTGTCTGGCCAATATATAGTGGCTATCAGGCATGCATTGTTCCAGAATTAACCAATTATATCGCAACATCTTAAAAACAAAACCATTCCAAAACATTCGACCGTTGGCTTTCCAACTGTGCTCATCCAATTTTCCATTTGTTGAAATGTGACCCTAGTTTTTGGGCTTGTCTTTATTATCAGGGCATATACTTCACACAAACAATGTCAAATGTTAAAGGAAACTCAACTCAAAGGAGGACCTTCCTGTGGCCATTTCATGATTGTGGCAACCATGTCAGGTATGCAGGGCCATCAGCTTTCCTCTGATTATCTCCAATAGTAAATTGTCCCCAAACAACTCTCTCATTGCAATAACACAACTGTTCTGCTTGTGGGAGAAGTCTCTTAAAGGTTGAGCATAGTGTGGACTGAAAGAAACTAGCAGCAAGCCCTTTAGTTTCCACAACGACAGGGCTGAGGTTTGCAGTCACTACATTAGGATGACCATGTTTTCTAATTCAAGTCAAAGCTAAACACCCAGTCACACCATCCAACCCAGACAGAAATAGTAAAATCAGTGAATGACATTTACGGGTCTGACGTGTCTGATATCCAGATATCCTTCAAATTGGAGTTCCAGTACAACCTGCCATTCAGTTCCAAACATGACAGGGTCTCTCCCCTTCAGAAGATGGTGGAACACACTCCATTCATTTATCTCTCAACCTCCCTAGTGACACATATATTTTGGTTTCTGGCCCATTTTCTCTTCTGACTGGATTGTGGTAGGTGGTGGATGCTGGATGGTACACTGTGACAACTCAGGGCAATCTCTGTAGAGCTTCAAGCCCCTCAGGGAATTCACTCTATCTACTGATCAAAAGTATGAGATTGACACCTTCTCCCTTCAGAACTTATTAATCATTTGGATATTTATTTGGGGATTGTGAAGTGGGAATTCTTCTGGGAATTGCCTGGAAAGCAGGAACATTATGGCTTTCCAAGACTAAACAAAACACTAGTCTTTTGAAAAATTTGATGTGCAACAAGGGTGTCACAGTGGTTAGCACTGCTGCCTCACCGTGCCAGGGACCCAGGATTGATTCCAGCTTTGGGTGACTGTCTGAAGTTTGCATGTTCTTCCAGTGACTGTGTGGGTTTCCTCTAACAATCCAAAAATGTGCAGGTTAGGTGCATTGGCCATGCTACTCTGTAGTGCCCAGCCATGGTAAATGTGGGATTATAAGGATTGGGTGGGATTCCCTTTGGTGGGTTGGTGCAGATTTGATGGGCCAAATGGCCTCTATATGCACTGTAGGAATTCTAACCTTCCCATTTTCCTGTCATTACTTCAGATTAGTCTCATTCAGAGCATTGTGACCATGACAGGGTCTGACCACCTATATACACTAGACTTGAGGCGTAGCTCTGTCAAGATGAATCTCACAAAGCCAAATTTAGTTGATTTTTCACATCGATAAATTTAAATGTGGAACAAGAATTTTATGGTCATATAGCAACAAAAAAATTTGCTGTCTTTTTTTAAGGTGGCTATGTCATTAAATAAATCAGGGCTTGTTTCTGATTGTCTCAGTGCATCTTGTGATATGGGATGGTCAAGAAATTTCCAGCTAAGACTTGATCCTCCATGAAGTGGAGTTCCTTCAGAGGCAGGAGTCGGGGGCGATGACTTTGTCACAGGGATCTGACTCAGTCAGATGTTTCTTGCCATCCAGTTCACAGGTTTTTGTTGTTGGCCCTCCCTGTTGGCATTGCAAGTGCAGCTACCCCAGTGTGATTCCTGGGGGTCAGCTTACTCTCATCACCTTCTGAAGGGCAAACAGAGACAGGTAAACAAGTGCTGGTTACGCCATGCACATCCCCATAAACAAACCGCGATTTGGGAAAAATAAATTCTCCAGAGGCTGGGAGTGGGATCAAATACACAGAAATCCACAACATCTTCAGATAGACGGTACAGCAATCTGAGCCACGAAAAAGGGGAGGAAAAGATTTATCAAATGTTCAACACAAATGGTGAAGGAATGGTCTTGAGGCGAGGTGCTAGCAGCGGACTCCACTTCGCTTTAGGGTTTAAAAGCCCAGTTGTATCTTGGTATCAGTACAGATTACGAAGAAGCGAACACAAGCAGAAACTGGGAATGGGGTACGGTGTCATTCTGGGGCTGTGAGCAGCCTCCCAGGGCGGTGGATTCAAACACTGCCATGCACTATTACCAGATGCATAGTTTAAACCGGCGAAGGAAGAACAGATCTCGGAGTTGGGCGAGTGGTGATAAACCATCTGCACCACAAGATCTCCTGGATGGCGGAACAGGGAATAGGGAAGGCGACCAAAGCCGTTTTGTATTTCCACACAGGCCGCATGCAGATCTCTTGCAAGGCCGGTTGGGGGTAGGGTAAGGTCAGGCCACGATGATATTTGCAGAGAGACATTTGTGCTACTTTCATTGGTGCAGAAAACCATCAGGTAACCACAGTAACAGTGAACCGACAGGTTAACGAGCATCTAAAGAGACAGCATCCCCCCCTCCCCTCACTGTTTAAAACAGGATTTAAAAAAAATTAAGAGTCACACTTCCATTCACCAAGGTGTCTATGTCATGGGGTGGAATAGAAGGGGCTAAGGCCTCATGTCCCGTATTTTATTTCAACATTTTCAGAACTGGTTTGCTGTCAACATCAAATGCTAATTGTTTATAAAAATAAAGTGGACAATTACAAGGACTGAGAGCAGTTCTTAAAGGGGCAGTGTCGTCTGCTTCTTGTGGATAGTGTGGATGTGGGCCCCACCGACCCATTGGAAATGCTGGGGGTGGGGAAGCTATTTTTCTATGGCAGACCGCCAAGGTTACCTTTAAGAATTTTCATCTTTGGGTGCAGAATACCAGATTGGAATGTTCAGAGAGACTGTTCCCGTGTCCAATGATTGTGGTGCAGTGGCAGTGTCCCTATCTATGAATTAGGAGGCCTGGTTTCAAGTCCCACCTGCTCCAGTGGTGTGTAATAACATCTCTGATTAGAAAATATCAAAAGGTTGGAGGTAGCAGGAAACACCTTTACTTCCCTAAATTGGGTTTCGTGGACACAAATGAGTCTGGGAGTGGGATATTAAGCAGGGAGGGTTAGGGGGTGGGTGCAAGGCGCATCCTTCAGAAACAACACATTGTGGAGCTGGAGGAAAACAACAGGCCAGGCAGCATCAGAGGAGCAGGAAAATTGACGTTCCAGGTCGGGACCCTTCTTCAGAATCTTTCCTCAGCCCTCCTGCCCCAGGTTTGCCAAAATATTGGCTGGAGAGTCTCAAGTCTACCCCTTTGTGTTTTATTGGCTTTCAGTGAATGCAAAGGTACAAAAAAAGGCCTTAATTTTCAGCTCGCATCCCCAATAAACAGGATAGTTCAAAGCACACACATACAAAACCCCAAATACGAGAGAGGACAGATTACTGGGAGAGAGGCTGCCTCTTTATTATAAACAACCACAGTTGTCTCCTGATAAACCACTTACCTGGGGCCAAACCTTGGAAAGCCAAATGTATTACCTCAATTCCAAGCCCTTGAGATAAACAATAAACTGTGATTTATACACGACACAATCCGGCAGAAATTAAGGCATGTTTTAACAAGGGCTGGAGCCTTGATAAAACAGCAAGGGCAGAGTAGCCTCTGGCACCTAACCTCTGGCACCTGAGAGACTCCATCTGACAATTCCAGCACAGTTTGTGTTGGGTAAATCCCATCCAAAATGTGCTGGAGATCTCTGTTCACAAGCCAGAGGCACAATCTTAGACTAGGAATCATTCAACTGTCATTTGACTCCTTGTCCATGTTCTTCTACCCCAATAAATTAATAGTTTACAAGTTAAAGCTCTCTGGTTGGAAAAGGTTTTTGGGGTTGGTTGCGGCTTTATCAGGATTCAACTGCGTATTTCAAGCTCGTTCTTTGTTTGTGCCCATGTTTATCACAATTACAGAGAAAGACTCAAAACATAAAAAATACCACTGACAAGTACAAAGATTAAAAACTGAATACACTCCATTTACTCTTTGGACAGGCATTAATACAAACACACATTTAAAAAGATACACTTCCCACAACTGGAACAATTCATTACACTGAAAAATTGTAAAATAAATTAAAATGTACACAAAGATATTGAACCTTGTGGTTTCCTATCACAGCACAGGGGACTTGCCCCTCTAGGACCTTTCAGATGCTGCAATGGAGATGGAATGGGGAATCTGGCAATGCGTGTGGGATGGGTGAATAGTTTGCTTTTCTTCAGCCACTCTCCAGCATCTTGTTGGCATGCTTGTTGGCTTCATCAATACGAGCTTTGTTCATATCCCCCTAGGTAAGCACAATATATAGAAGTTAGAGGTGTGCACATGTGCCCAATCCTCCCAAAATCTTCTGTCCTTATTCTCTCAAATTCTATCATTCAGCCTCTCTTCATTTCACCTCCAAAAGCAATTCTTTGGCCAGTTCCCCAAACACCTTTATTAATCTTTGCTCCATATCCAAATTTCACACTGCTCCTCTTGTAAAACATCTTGGTAATGCTATTTATGACTTATTATTTCTGTTGATTATAGTTTCAATGCAAAGTTAGTCTGGAGGATGATGCATTAGCCCAACATGCCTTTCCAAGGTAGATTCACGTGAAGTAATACCAGGCATACATTAGGAAGGAAGGTTCACATGAACCTGGCATTACTTTGCCAGTTAATTGGCATCAGTGGAGAAGATGTCTGACATTTCAAAATTGGGCACCTAGTGATACAACAAGTGTAATGGGTAAACTGTCGCTTAGGTTTTTAAATCAGCTCCCAAGAAATGCAAAGAGCACATAATAATCCAGGTTGAGACTTTGAGGCTGTAGTGAGGGACTGCTGTATTGTCAGAGCTGCCATTTTTCATACAGAACAGGGAAGTCTCATCAACATTTATTCATCAAACTAACATTAATAGAGCATCAATAAATCTGATACATTATATCATTGTAATCTCATGTTGGGGTCTTGCTGTGCACAAACTGTGTTTCTGAAAATACAACATGTCAAATGTACTTAGTTGCAATAGCAATGCACCGTCCCATTGAAATGCTGAATTTGGTCAGATGCTTCCAATCCCAACTCATCAATATTAAGAACAGGACCTGGAGCTTGTTCCAATGATACACTCCTAATCTAGTAATGGTCCAACATGGTCATTGTTTGGTCCTTGACGGATGCACATAAAAATACTCGGTCACTAAATGTTATTTGGAACACTTTGGTTGCATTACTAAAATGCCTCATCCTGTTCCACTACCTGAAACAAAATGCTTTTCACTATTCTCAATGCACTATTCTCACCTTGGTCACAATCCGGTCAATCTGGGCATTCTGGGAACTGATCTCGTTGCCCATGTCGAGAGCCATGTGTCGTAGGTTGCCAATGATACTTCCCACCTGATCCAGGTTTTCCTCCATCTCATTTTCCCGCGCGTCCTCAGTAACTCTGGAATCAGACAGGTTGCCTGAGGTGAGATGTTAAAATCAGCTGGGCGCCTCTCTTGTTTAGTTTGACAGCAATGCACCAAACTTGAAAATTGACAGAACCTCTTGCATTAATAAGTAGGGACTGGCGGCTCCTAGAAATCTCCAGTGAGGTCAAGTCAGACTTTTCAATTACCTTTTACAAGAAATTTAAAACCAACCAAGTGACAGTTTCATTTAACCAATTGAGTTCAGGATGCACTTCTGAATCCTAAATAGACACATCAGAGGGGGGAAATGAGCTGAAATGAGACCATTTAGAGAGGTGACCGGCACTGTGCTAAAAGAGATTTTGTATGTTTAATCTGGAGAATATGATTGTCTGAGACAGGGAGGGAATATCTGAGGTACTGTATCCAATTAGTTTTAATTACTACACTTCTGATTGGCTGGAATTCTCAGATAGCCTGCCCTTAGCCTGCTTTTTCTATGATTGGCTGAGAGTTGGTATCTGCAGCATCCTCATTCACTATCCCAAGTAAGGCTTGAGTCCAATTTAAGTTTTCCTTCTCAGTCCTAATTTAACCTGTGGTTTGGTCTGAATATTGAGTAGTGACTTAACTTCAGACCTGCCGTGTATTTAACTCCCTTCAAAAGCATCTTCCAAAACTATGAGCACTTTCATCTAGAAGGACAAGGGCAGCAGATAAATGGGAACGCCACCACCTGCAAATTCCCCTCCAAATCACTCAACATCCTGCCATGGAAATATATTGTTGTTCCTTCAGTGTCACTGGGTCAAAATTCTGGAATTCCCTCCCTAACAGCATTGTCCCTACATTGAAAGGACTGGAGCATTTCAAGTCACTACCACCTTCTGAGGCAATTAGGGATGGGCAATAAGTGACACCCACATCCCATGACTGAAAATTGACCCTATCCACTTTTATATTTCTCCTACTTTCTTGCAATTTCCCACTTCCTTTGACCAATTACAAACTTATTTTTAATGATTTAATGCTTCTGACTATAATTTTACTGAGATGATCCACAACACCATTTTAATCAGGGTGTCTCTGAATCTGTCAATCCACACTTAAGTTCATTTAAGTCATACAGCACAGAAACAGACGCTTCGGTCCAACCAATTTGAGCCCCACATAACCCAAACTAACCTATTCCCACCTGTCAGCTCCTGGCCAATATCCCTCCAAATCTTTCCTAAACATGTACTTATCGAAGAGTCTTTTTAAATGTTGTAATTGTGCCCAAATAGTCTGATGAGCTCAGTGTGCTCATTGAGAAAGCTGCTATTGGGTTCTCCATTTCTGTCCACTTCTAGCCTATCTTCACAGGCCAATATACTCTTTGGGATTCTGATTGCTCCATGTGTTTCATGTTTGGCCTCATTGGCACCACCATTAATAGGGCCTGAGCCACTTTTTCATTGTATAAACCTTGATGCCAAAATAGGGCCCATCAAAATATCCTTGTGAATAATAATGGCTGCTCTACTTGTCACAGTGCATGGTGCTAACTCATCAAGGTATCTCAAAAACTTGAGCAAAAGGTAACTGCTTCACACTGTGATCATGCAGTGATAAGCATGAGTGGCGATCTCCACTAAAATGGCACTGCAGTGAAGCCTACAAGACATTCTGTTTGCCATATTGATGAGTAATGCGAGAAGTTAATGTGGAATTAAGAATCTACTGGTCACCATGAAATCATTGCCGATTGTTGGAAAAACCCAACTGGTTCACTAATGTCCTTCAGAGAAGGAAACCTGCCACCCTCACCTGGTCTGGCCTACATGTGACTCCAGACCCACAGCAATGTGGTTGACTCTCAACTACTCTCTGAAATGGCCTGGCAAGCCACTCAGCTGTACCAATCGCTACAAAGCCTCAAAGAAATGAAACCGGACCGATCACCTGGCTTTGACCCAGGCACCTGAAAAGACAACGGTAGAAACAGCCCTGTTGACCCTGCAAAGTCCTCCTCACTAACATCTGGGGGTTAGTGCCAAATTGGGAGAGCTGTCTCACAGTCTAGTTAAGCAACAGCCTGACATAGTCATATTCACAGAATCATACCTTACAGACAATATCCCAAATACCAGCATCACCATCCCTGGATATGTCCTGTCCGACCGGCAGGACAGACCCAGCAGAGGGGGCGGCACAGTGATATACAGCCAGGAGGGAGTTGCTCTAGGAGTCCTCATCATTGACCCTGGACCCCATGAAGTCTCATGGCTTCAGGTTAAACATGGGCAAGAAAACCTTTTGCTGTTTACCACATACTGTCCCCTAGTTGATGAATCAGTACTCCTCAATGTTGAACAACACTTAAAGGAAGCACTGAGGATGGTAAGGGCACAAAATGTGCTCTGGGTGGGGGATTTAGATATCCACCAACAAGAGTGGTTCGGCAGCAGTATTACTGATTAAGGTGGTCGGGTCCTAAAGGACATAGCTACTAGACTGGGTCTGCAGCAGGTGGTGATGGAACCAACAAGAGGGAAAAATTTACTAATCCTTACTAATCTGCCAGCTGCAGGTGCATCTGTCCAGGACAATATCGGTAAGAGTGACCATCGCACAGTCCTTGTGGAGATGAAGTCCCATCTTCATATTGAGAATAACTTCCATCATGTTGTATGGCACTATGACCGTGCTAAATGGGACAGACTTCACACAGATCTAGCAACTCAAGACTGGGCATCCATGAGGCACTGTGGAACATCAACAGCAGCAGAACTGAACTCCAGCACAATCTGTAACCTCATGCCCCCACTCAACCATTACCATCAAGCCAAGAGATCAACCCTGGTTCAATGGACAGTGCAAGAGGGCATGCCAGGAGCAGCATCAGGCATACCTGAAGATGAGGTATCAACCTGGTGAAGCCACCAAACAGGACTACTTGCACACCAAACAGTGAAAGCAGCAAGTGATAGACAGAGCTAAGCAATCCCACAACCAACGGATCAGATCTAAGCTCTGCAGTCCTGCCACATCCAGTTGTGAATGGTGGTGGACAATTAAACAACTCACTGGAGGAAGAGGCTCCACAAATATCCCCATCCTCAATGATGGAAGAGCCCAGCACATCAGTGCAAAAGATAAGGCTGAAGTATTCGTAGCAATCCTCAGCCAGAAGTGCTGAGTGGATGATCCATCTCAGCCTCCTCCAGTGGTCCCCAGCATTATAGATAACAGTCTTCAGCCCATTCAATTCACTCCATGTGATATCAAGAAATGGTTGGAAACACCGGATACTGCAAAGGCTATGGACCCTGACAGCATTCTGGCAATAGTACTGAAAACTTATGCTCCAGAGCTTGCCGCTCCCCTAGCCAAGCTGTTCCAGTGCAGTTACAACACAGGTAACCATTTGACAATGTGAAAAATTGCCCAAGTATATCCTGTACACAAAAAAAAGGACAATTCCAACCTGGCCAATTACGGCCGCATCAGTCTATTCTCAATCATCAGTAAAGTGATAGAAGATGTTTTGAACAGCACTATCAAGCAGCTTAGAAATAACCTGCTCAGTGATGCCCAGTTTGGGTTCTGCCAGGGCCACTCAGCTCCTGACCTCATTACAGCCTTGGTTCAAAGATGGACAAAAGAGCTGACTTCCAGAGGTTCAAATGCAACAAGATCGGGACAATATCCAGGCTTGGGCTGACAAGTGGCAAGTGACATTCACACAACACAAATGCCAGGCTATAACCATCACCAATAAGAGACAATCTAACCACCACCTCTTGACAGTGTTACCATCACTGAATTACCCACTATCAACATCCTGGGGGTTATCATTGACCAGAAACTCAACTGGACTCACCACATAAACACAGTGGCTACAAGAGCAGGTCAGAAGCAAGGAATACTGCGGCAAGTAACCCATCTCCTGACTCCTCAAAGCCTGTCCACCATCTACAAGGCACAAGTCAGGAGTGTGATAGAATACTCCCCACTTGCCTGGATGAGTGCAGCCCCAACAACACTCAAGAAGCTCGACTCCATCCAGGACAAAGCAGGCAACTTGATTGGCACTACATCCCCAAGCATCCACTCCCTCCACCACCGACCCTCAGGAGCAGCAGTGTGTACTGTCTACAAGATGCACTGCAGAAATTCCCCAAAGATCCTCAAACAGCACCTTCCAAATCCACGACCACTTCCACCTAGAAGGACAAGAGCAACAGACATATGGGAACACCACCACCTCCAATTTCCCTTCCAAGCCACTCATCATCCTGACTTGGAAATATATCGCCATTCCTTCACTGTCGCTGGGTCAAAATCCTGGAATTCCATCCCTAATAGCATTGTGGGTCAACCTATAGCAGGAGGACTGCAGCAATTAAAGAAGGCAGCTCACCAGCACCTTCTCAAGGGCAACCAGGGATTGGCAAGAAATGCTGGCCAGCCAGTGATGCCCACATCCCACAAATGAATAGAGAAAGAAAATGAATTTCAGTGCCTGTGTAATCCTGGGTATGTAGGCTGTACGGTCCAATAATTGGTGGATTGTATCAAAAACACAGTCCGTTCAGTTGTTCGCAGTAAGAAGCGTACTTACTGACTGTACTCAACCAGTCCATGTCTGCAAAACGTAGAACATGTCTGATGCTAGAAGTGATCACCTGATTGGACGGCACTTGATGAACTATCCTGATTATGCTAAGATTAACATTAGAAACAATTTAAGATTATCAGTTGTGTTCACAAAATGGTTTGCTTGCAATTGCTGAAAGCTGCATATATTCACACACAGGGACCAGTCATCTGCAGGTGAAAGTATAATGTTCAGCTTTTCAAGTAACCTAATGCAACAACAGTTCTCTGGAATATTCACTTTGACAATACCTCAACTAATCTGAATCATCATCTTGTGGATGCACCCCTTTTCTCATGCAATGTAAATTGTTCTGCCCTTTGAAATGTGCTATTTTTTGTATCTGTCTTGATGAGTGCTTTGATGGAAAGCTTCAACGTGTCTCTTAACTCAACAATACTTTGATCTGTCTGGGCTGAATTTAAAGTCCAATTCCGGTCTGACATCACCCAGTTCATCAAATTTAGTCCTATGGCCACATGCCAGTCTAACAGGAATTAATGTCATGAAGAGACACATTTCTACCCTCCCCTCCGATTATGGAACTGTTTACCTTCGGATGTATCCACCGCTCATTGCCATCTGTTCCCGATCATCCATCACTCGGGCAGGTTGGCTGGCCACCACACCATCCTGGTTATTCCCCCACACCTTCTTGTAAGCTCCTCCTGCCTCAAAGCTCTTTAACCTGAGAAGCAGAAAATGTACATGGAATTCTCAAATCTCTATGGTTTAAAGCCAGCATCTTTCTAATTATACTCCATAACCATACCTTACGAACAGATCAGCAAGCAATGCATTGCATCCAATATAGACATGAAATAATTCTGAACCATTTCTACGAGAATGCACATACTCCAAGAGTTTTTGCCTTTTCTCACATTCTAGGTGCAGATGTGCTGTGAATATAAAAGGATAGTATTTTTCTTCAAGGGTATATATTAGGTGGAATTACTCGCTGGCAAGTTGCTAAATGGTGATCAACATCTTTACAAATTAATTTCACTCGAAAATATCCTGAAAGTGAAACTCTTCAAAGTGTAAGAGCAGAAAGAAATTGGATTGACTTTTGTCTTCCACCGGACGTCCCTGTGTACCTGGTGTGTGACAAACCTATTCTCATGCCAAGACGTAGAAGCCAGGTGATAAATTGTCAGGTCCTATAATTGTCAACGTGATGACCAGACAACCCATTTTTGTGATGTTGGTTGAGGTTTTATGTGCACCTGAGAGGGCCTCAGTTTAGTGTCACACCCAAAAGTCAGCAAAAAAGCTAGGTGTGAGAAGAGAAGAAACTTCTTTACTCACAGAGTTGTTATGCTCCCCGGACAGTGTCGCATTCCCTTGGTACTGGCCTGGAAATGTCAACCTAAATATACTTGAGTCTCCAAAGCTGGGGCTGGAACCCATATTACTCTAACTTCCCCCACCACCCTTCTCCCCACACCCTCAGAGACAAAATGAATTCGTAAAACTCCCCAAGTTGCCACCCAGGTTGATAGGATTGTTAAGAAGGCATACAGTGTGTTAGGTTTTATTGGTAGAGGGATTGAGTTTCAGAGCCATGAGGTCATGTTGCAGCTGTACAAAACTCTGGTGTGGCAGTTCTGGTCATCGCATTATAGGAAGGATGTGGAAGCATTGGAAAGGGTGCAGAGGAGATTTACCAGGATGTTGCCTGGTATGGAGGGAAGGTCTTATGAGGAAAGGCTGAGGGACTTGAGGCTGTTTTCGTTAGAGAGAAGAAGGTTAAGAGGTGACTTAATAGAGACATACAAGATGATCAGAGGATTAGATAGGGTGGACAGTGGGAGGCTTTTTCCTCGGATGGTGATGGCTAGCACGAGGGGACATAGCTTTAAATTGAGGGGTGATAGATATAGGACAGATGTCAGAGGTAGGTTCTTTACTCAGAGAGTAGTAAGGGCGTGGAATGCCCTGCCTGCAAAAGTAGTAGACTCGCCAACTTTAAGGGCATTTAAATGGTCATTGGATAAACATATGGATGATAATGGAATAGTTTAGGTTAGATGGGCTTCAGATTGGTTTCACAGGTCGGCGCAACATTGAGGGCCGAAGGGCCTGTACTGCGCTGTAATGTTCTATGTTCTATGTTCTACGGCTCCAACTGGTACAAGGCAGAAGCCTCAGGCTCAATGCTCACTTTATAATCACGTGCACTTTTACACGAAAAATAGAGTGAAAAGTTTTATTAGTCATCCCACCATGACACCTACATCTATGACCGAAACCAAGTAAAAGTAAAAAATTTTACAAAAAGTAAAACTAATACAAAGTTCATTATAATTCAGCTAGTGGCTGCTGGGCTTAAGGAACGATGGAATGCCCTGAGGACACAGCCAGGATGAGACCACCGTGACGGTCCACTAGAATACTGGGCTGGAAGCCTCCATGAAGAAGATCATCATGCTGGGCCAAGACCACCATTCCTGGACAAGACTGCCTGCCGGGCCACTGGGGTACCTGCAAGCTGAAGACAAAGACGTCCTTCACACAGGGACGAGGCTGCCACATCGAGAGACTGCCACACAGGGAAACTGCCACACCAGGACAAAACCGCCACACAGGGAGATCTCCCCGCTGGGCAGAGAGCTCCACTTCTCCTCCTTCAGGTGCCTGGGCCTAGCTGAGGACCTGGAGGCTTGGGCTAGCCTGTGCGTCACTGCTGGAGAAGTGAGCCCGAGACCTGTTGTGTCTGGCTCAATCTGGCGTTGCTGCCGCTACACCAGAGGCCTCCTCCTTCACTCGCCACTCTCCAGGCTTCAAGGTAAAGCAAATGGGGAAAAAAAGAAGAAAAAAAGAGCAAAAGTAAAGAGAAGAAGGGAAAAAGACAAAGAAAGCCGACAGGAGCGGATGAGCCCCGGGCTCAGTCCCCCTACTCCGCTGTCATCTTTGTAAGTTATACTCATTGGTTACTGTCAGCCAGCGTGGTATTAAGGCCAGCGGTGTGCCACAAGGATCGGTGCTGGGTCCACTGGTTTTTGTCATTTACGTAAATGATTTGGATGTGAACATAGGAGGTATGGTTAGTAAGTTTGCAGATGACACCAAAACTGGAGGTGCTGTGGACAACTATGAAGGTTACCTCAGAGTATAATGGGACCTTGATCAGATGGGCCAATGGGCTGAGGAGTGGCAGATGGAGTTTAATTTAAATAAATGTGAGGTGCTGCATTTTGGAAAGGCAAATCAGGGCAGGACTTGTACACTTAAAGGTAAAGTCCTGGGGAATGTTGCTGAACAAAGAGACCTTGGAGTGCAGGGTAATAGTTCCTTGAAAGAGGAGTCACAGATAGATCCGATAATGAAGAAAGCGTTTGGTATGCTTGCCCTTATTAGTCCGTGCATTGAGTGTGGGGGTGGGAGATCATGTTGTGGTTGTACACTAGGCCACTATTGGAATACTGCATGCAATTCAACTAGGTCATAATTGATCCTCTTCACCACCGTTCTTCAGATCCCTTGATATCTTTAATATGTCAGAACCTATTGATCTCTGCCCTGAACATACTCAACGACAAAACCTCCACGATCCTGTGGGGTAGAGAATTCTAGCAATTCTGCTATAGGAAGGATGTTGTGAAACTTGAAAGGGTTCAGAAAAGATTTACAAGGATGTTGCCAAGGTAGGAGCGTTTGAGTTATAGGGAGAGGCTGAATAGGCTATTTTCCCTGGAGTGTCAGAGGCTGAGGGGTAACTTTACAGAGGTTCAAAAAATCATGAGGGGTATGGATAGGGTAAATAGACAAGGCCTTTTCCCCAGGGTGGGGGAGTCCAAATCTAGACGGCATTGGTTTAAGGTGACAGGGGAAAGATTTAAAAGGAACCTAAGGGGCAAATTCCTCACACAGAGGGTGGTGCGTGTCTGGAATGAGCTGCCAGAGGAAGCGGTGGAGGCTTGTACAATTACAACATTTAAAAGGCATCTGGGTGGTCATGAATAGGAAGGGTTTAGATGGATATGGGCCAAATGCTGGCAAATGGGACTAGATTTATTTTGGATATCTGGTCGGCATGGACAAGCAGACTGAAGGGTCTGTTTCCGTGCTGTATATCTCAATGACTTTATTGCACAAACTCCCTTAATGACCCTGGCCTGGGGAGTGGGGAAGAAGTCATCTACACTTCAAAACACAATTCCTTCCCAGAATCTGGAGACATTGTCTATGTAGCTCCTGGCAGGTGAATAACCCCCCAACACTAACTATCTGTGTTCACACATGGTCAAGAAGCTAAAACCCCAGTGAGCAAAGGGACGTCATACACATTAATAGTAAAAGATTAGCAACGGATAGAGTGAGGCCCATAAGGAACAAGCAGGGTATGCTGCTCAATGAAGCAAAGGGTATGGCACAGGTAATAAATCACAGGAGTCAGGGAGCCACTCCTTAAGGTGACTGGGAAGTGAGCTGTGATGGTGGTGGGGAGCAGTTCTCCCCCACTTCATCCACAAGGAGTCTGAAGTCGGATTGAAGTTTGAAAAATGACCCAAGCCTCTTCTGGCCAGTCATGATGTCGCTGTTGCTAGCTTCTGTCTTTACCAAATTAGAAGATGGTGACAATGGCCCAGTTGAAAATGTGGGTGTTGAACAACTGAGCAGTACAGTGCTATATAAAGAAGAGGGGCTAAAAAGACTGGCAGCACTCCAGGTAGAGAAGTGACCAGGCCCCGATGGGATATATCCTAGGTTGCATGGACAGCAAATCACGGATGCATTGACAGAAATTTTCCCGGTGTCTCTAAACACAAGATTAGTTCTGGAGGAACTGGAGGATTGCATTTGTGACACTGTATTTTAAGAAATGGGCAAAGGATAACCCAGAAAGCTACAGACCTGTCAGTTTGACATCAATAGTGGGAAAACTGATGGAGGCCATGATGTAGGATAAGATAAGATGTATATTTAGAGAAAAAAACTTAATATTAGACTGTCAACATGGCTTTGTCAAGGCAGGTTGTATCTGACAAATTCAATTGAGGTCTTTGATGAGGTGACAGTGGATGAGGCTGATGCTATACCTTTGGACTTTCAGAAAGCCTTTGATAAGTTGCCACATGCCAGATTGGTCAGCAAATTAGAAATATTTGGGATAAAGGGATCCTTGGCAGCACGGATTAGAAGTTGGCTAAAAGATAGGAAACATAAGATAGGTATAGACGGGGATTTCTCAGGTCGGAGATGAGTTGAAATTGGTGTTCCCCAGGATTGACTTTGGGACCTTTTCTTTTTCTGATTTATACCAATGATTCAGAAATGGGTGTTGAGGATAAAATCTCTCAGTTTGCAGATGATACTAAGCTAGGGAGAGTAGTGAATTGTGAGGATAATGCTGAGCAACAACAGAGATGTTGACAAGTTATCCAAATGGACAGATTTGGACAATCACCTGGCAGATGAATTTCAATGCAGAGAAATGCAAGGTAATGCAGTATGGTAGAAGAAACATGGAGAGACAATACAGGCTCAATGGTATAACTTTGAGGCGAGTACAGACGCAGAGTGACCTCAGCGTTCAAGTTCTCTAATTCTCTAAAGTGGCCAGCAAGTTAGAACATAAAGCTTACAGGATCCTTGGGATTATAAAGAGAGGCATTGAATATAAATGCAAGGAAGTGACGGCACACCTCTACAAATCATTGGTCAGACCACATTTGGAATATTGTG